TCTCTCAGCTCAGGGAAGCAAGGCTAGACTTCGTTTTGAAGGGATTCAAGATGTCGAGTAATCTCTTCTATGAAATTGCCATTTATTTCACCCTTGGAATTGCGATGGTGAAATCTAGATCGCATGATTTTTGGATTACCCATCTGATTGGTGGCAGAAACATACGATTTATTATATTTTGGGAAATTCACTTACATAAACAAATCTCTGTGCAGGATGCGAAGACGTCATTTTTTGTTTCCCACAGACTGCTTATGTAAACACTCTGGAGTTCGCGCGTTGATGCGTGACTACGGGTCGCTTCAGTGCACCCACTGGGAACATAATATCTTATGGGTTATATTCGATAATGAAAAATATATTATTCAAGCTTAGGCATCGATTAAAAGTGAAAATTGCTTTAAAATCATTATTTTAGTTTGCCGTTTCAGCCGGCAACCCCACAAAAAACCTTTCGCGACCCAAGGGTTGGGAACTCGTGACTTTTCAGCAACAAAGTTGGTCATTCTTATAAATCTACCATAAACATTCAAGGATTCTTAGTGAATCATAAGAATCACTAATTAACTTCTTACCTGTACGATCGATGCACGTGCCTCCCTTTAACGTCAAACAGCAACGGGAGATTATCCAATGTTTCAACTATAAGGATATTCTCTTTTTGAGAAGAGGCATCTTTTTCCTTACTTCAAAAACTTTAGCAAAACGATTTCGATTAAACCTAGCTACGGCAACGAAGATTTCTGACTTAAAGTTTGCTTAACGTGGACAACAGTTCAGCTTCTGGATAGCGACCGCACTACGATTTCGAAGCACTGTCGACTTGAGGTGCGTTGTTGAAGTCAGTCATTCAAGCGACGCTGGCGTTATGAGTCTAAACGTTTTACTGTCATGAGCAAATCGACCTCAATCAGGAAAAAGACGCACCATTCTGCTGACCGCTGGAAACGTTTTACATAAAGCGAAGATCGGCAACTTAGTCACAGATACGACGACCAAGAGAACGACTGACATAATCCGGGTCACAATCCCCAGTAAAATAAAATCTGCATCAACGAGAATCAATTCGCACGAAACCAATTTCCCTAACAGTTCAGCTTGTGACCGCCAAAGATAATCGACAACAAACTGTCGCGTGTCGAAAACGGTGACAGCGTACAAACAGAGCACAGAATCCACACTCAACTCACTCTAACAGACACGTTCACAGCCGGCAAAGACAAAACAGTACTGGAAAAAAACAAGCGAGAGCAATCAAAATCGGCAAGAACATCTGGCTTTGATCCTGTTGCGTGTATGGATTGGTCTGTTTCGGACCGCTGGCCCACTTCAAGTTATCTGCCGACAGTTCGATTTGTTCCGGAGCGTCAGGAAGCGTTTCTTCCAGTTCTTCTAACGGAGGCAATGCGGGTACATCTAAATTGAAGACACACGATTAACGTTAATTCCGTACGAATTATCATCAACGAAGTTCATGTTCAATTACACGTTTGCGTTACACTAAGAACTAGTGTTTAACGCCTGATGTTCAACTAGTAGCTTCCGAGTTTTAAAGGAGGCAGTGGCACAAGCGTACGAC